CACCAGCGCCAGCACCTCCAACAGCTCCGGAACCTCCAGCGCCAGCACCCCCAACAGCTCCAGAACCTCCAGTGCCAACGCCTCCCGCAGCAGGGCCCCCAGCTCCAGCAGCTCGACCCTGACGGCTAACGTACCACTCACGCAGCTGCTGTGGCGAGAGAGGGAGACGACGACGAGAGTGCAGCGGCGAGGCACCAGCGGAGCGACTACGGAGACGGCCGCTCCAGGGAGACTGCTCACCAGACGCCTCAGCGCCCCCAGGTGCAGCACCCCCAGACTCAGTACCCCCAGGCTCAGCACCCCCAGACTCCTCACGCCCAGGCTCAGCACCTCCAGGCTCCGCACCCCCAGGCTCAGCACCCCCAGTCTCCGCACCCCCAGGCTCAGCACCCCCAGAAGCAGCGCCCCGAGCAGGACCACCCTCAGCAGGACCTGAGTCACCCGTGACCTCAACCGGCGCAGTCAAGGGAGGAGGGTCTACCTGAGACACACCTGAAGCAGCAGGACCGGGAGTGGGGAGGCGGTCTACCAGGGGAGCACCTGGAGCGAGGAAGAGCGGCGGGGGGGGAGAGGGGCAGTGCGGTAGGGGAAGAGACGGTAAAAGGGAACCGACTCGTCGAACGTGACGTCCTGAGAGGGGAAGACACGGCGCGAGGTGGGGTGGTAAAACTGCCAAACAGGCGCGTCAGGGACAAAGCCAAGGAAGACACAGGGAACAGCGTGGGCAGAGAGCTTGTCTGCGGTGGTATCGCGGACAAAGGCACGAGAACCCCAGACCCGGAACACCGACGCATTGCCAACCTCCCCCGTCCACCGCAGTGTGGGCGAGGTCTCCAGCAAGGAGACACGGGGCTGATGCGCGGCGTAGCGGACCGCAAACGGCCATAGAAAATGGGGGGCAGCCGCATGGACCATGGAGGTACGAGCGACCTCCATGACCAAGCCAATGCGGCGCTCAGCAACCCCATTCTGCTGCGGAGAGGCCGGAAGCGTGAACGTCTGGCGAATGCCCTCCCCACGACAAAAGCTCTGCAGAAGGTCGGAGGAAAACTCCCCACCTCTGTCAGAGTGCAGACGCAGGACGGGAAACTCCGTCCCGAACCGCTCGCGGAGCTGGAGACGGGCAGCGCGGATCCAAGGGATCAAAACATCAGGGACCTCACCCTTGGTGCGCAAGGGGAAGACCGTGGTGTAACGCGAGTAGTCGTCAACAACCAGCAGGAAGTACCGCTCGCGGTCCTGCCGACTGACGCGGGCTGGGCCCCACACGTCCATGTGCAGGGTCTGCAGGGGAGCAGTTGTCGGGGGAAAAGAGGAGGAGTGAGGAGCGGCGCGCTGCCGCCCCTCGACACAGGGAAGACAGGGAGGAGCAGGCGAGGGTGGGAGGGGAGGGAGAACCCTGGGAAGACCAGAGACAAGGACATGGCGGTGCATGCTACGAAGGCGCTGCACCGAGGGGTGACCAAGACGTTGGTGCCAAAGGAGGGTCTGGTGCGACAAAGCGTGACACGAGCAGGGGGCTGCTAGCTGACCTGACGCAAACGCAGACGAAGCGACCTGAGGGGACACAGTAGTCAGTGTGTACAGTCTCGAGCCAGGCGCACGGGTAAACGTGGCCAGGTGCGGGCCCGTCCGGGAGCACTACAGTGGGTCACGCGCTGACCTCTAGGAGTGAACTGGTCAACCCACTGGTCCTGGAGGTCAGCACCACTCACCAAGTTCGTAGAGAACGAGGGGAGGTGAAGACCTGACAGGGAGCCAGACGGGACCGCCGGACACGGCAGGACCGTGGAGGAGCGCGCAAGGACTGGACCCTTAGAGGGGTCTGCGAGGGAGACTGCAACCGGCTGACGGAGCGGCGTGAGGGTGGTGCTGTTGCGAAAGAAGGAGCGGGAAGCACCTGAGTCAAGTGTGAAGGTGTACAAGGCCTCAGCAGGCACAGTACCAGAGAAAGCAGACTCACCAGGACCTGGAGCAGCAGCCTCACCAGCACCTAGAGCAGGAGACGCACTAGCACCTAGAGCAGCAGCCTCACCAGCACCTAGAGCAGCAGGCTCTATACCTGGGTCAGGCAGTACGCACAGGTAACAGGCACCGTCAGCACTAGTAGGCAATGCATACATGGCAGTGAGAATAGCATCATAGTCAAGAGCAAAGATATCTACACTCTGCCTAAGCAGCTCCAGCCAGGTGGGGAGCTCAGCCTCGTCGCCAAACTCGGTACGCCAGGCGTCGCTCAGACGGGCGAAGCAGCGGGACTCTGTGTGACCAAGCGTCCCGCAAGCCAGACCAGCCCGATCACCTGTGCGAATGACGTACGGGCAGCGAACGGTATTCCGAGACCCTCTATTCTGAGCGTACCACTCACGAAGCTGATGGGGCGTAAGTGTCTCGCGCGGACGCAGCTGCAGCTGCAGCTGGCCACTGCCAGACGCTCCCGACTGACCAGCTCCAGGGCGACAGCCATGACGGCTACCGCCACAGCCCCAACTAGCGTACCACTCACGAAGCTGCTGGGGCGTGAGAGACTCGCGCGGACGTCGCTGGAGCTGCATCTGGCCACCGCCAGTAGCAGCACTAGCAGTAGTAGCAGCAGTAGCAGCAGCAGCAGCAGTAGCAGCAGCCTAGCAGCAGTAACAGTAGCAGCAGCAGTAGCAGCAGTAGCAGCGCGGGCAGGGCAGGCGCGGCAGGCAGGCAGGCAGGCAGATGGCGCGGCATCGCGCTAACAAGGCAGGCGCGCGGGAAGCGCAGGTAGGGCAGGTGCTCACCAGTGGCGGGAAGGGTAGGCGCTCGCCGGGCGAGCAGGGCCGGTGCTAGGTGGGCGGCGGCAGGGTAGGCGCACGATGGCGGCGACGGCGGGGCCGCAACAGCGGCTGCAGAGTAGAGCCGCATCAGCTGCAGTGCTGGGGCCACGACAGTGGCAGGGCAGGGCCGCAGCAGCTGCTGCAGGGCGGGGCCGTGTCGACGGCAGGGCGGGGCCAGGCGGGGCCGCGTCGGCGGCAGGGCGGGGCCGCGACAGCGGCTGGGCGGGGCCAGGCGGGGCCGCGTCGGCGGCAGGGCGGGGCCGCGACAGCGGTAGGGCGGGGCCGCGTCGGCGGCAGGGCGGGGCCGCGACCGCGACCTGGCGGGGCCGCGTCGGCGGCAGGGCGTGGCCGCGTCAGCGGCAGGGCGGGGCCGCGTTAGCGGCAGGGCGGGGTCGCGACAGCGACCTGGCGGGGCCGCATCGACGGCACGGCGGGGCCGCGCAGGCGGCAGGGCGGGGCCGCGACAGCGGCAGGGCGGGGCCGCGACATCGGCAGGGCGGGGCCGCGTCGGTGGCAGGGCGGGGCCGCGATAGTGGCAGGGCGACGCCGCGTCAGCGGCCTGGCGAGGCCGCATCGGCTGCAGGGCGGGGCGGCGCTCTAGCCTAACGGGCCTGGCGGGGCCGCTCGCGGGCCTGACGGGCCTGCAGGGGCGGCGCGCGGGCCTTACGGGCCTGCAGGGGCGGCGCGCTGGCCTTACGGGCCTGCAGGGGTGGCGCGCTGGCCTTACGGGTCTGCAGGGCGGTGCGCGCATAGCTAGGGCAACAGTAGGCAGCGCGAGGGCTGCAGGACGGCGCGCGCAGCGCAGCACGTCACAAGGCAAGGCAAGGCAGGAGAAGGCGCGCGCAGGACAACACGTGAGGTAGAGCGGTAACCACAACGGTAGGTGGGCCCGAAAAAAAAGACGGTCCTACGGACCTAGTGCTCTGAAACCATGTTAGAATCTAGTGGCAGGAATGCATGCACTATGGAAGAGTTGGGTACAAGTATGAAACCCTAAACGGGGCTGTACCCCATATTGGCTACCCCACTACAGCCTAATCATATAGACCATGCATATAATTTGACACGCCCCAAGGACCCGCGCAACCCCCCGCTTCCGCTCGCACGCCGCCCCAGCTGCTGCCCGCGTATCTGCCCCGCGCTGCACATGCGCCGCCTGCGTTTGGGGTATGGGGGTGGCGGATATGGGGGTGGCGGGTTTGCTCCTCCTCCTCCTCCGTCTCCCACGGCTGCAGCTGCCGCTGAGGGTGGGTGGGTGTGTGGGAGCAGAGGGAGTGGCATTAGGGGGGTGTTGTGGGAGTGGAGCTAGGGGTGCAGCAAGGGATGTGTGAAAGGGGTGTGGGACAGTTGGGGGAGGTTGAACGGAGGTAGCCGTCATGACGTCAGCAGCGCCAGTTGTCCGGGGGTCACCCTTGCTCCAGTAGCCCAGCGAGCCTGCTGCGCCTGTCGCACGTGGGTCCGTTGCTCCAGCCGCTCGTCTTAGCCGCGGAGCCAGTGACTCCAGTAGTCCGGATACCCTTGCTTGTGTTTGGTAGCCCGTGTGCGCCGCTCCTGTTGCCCGTGTGTCTGCGGCTTCACCCGTCGCCTCCTATCTCCACTCCTCTCACAGTCCCTCCTCCTCCTCACTTGCCCTCTGTGACTGCCTCTAGTTTTGCTTGTGCTTGTGAACTTCTTATGCGACTGCTTGCTGTGCTGATCATACCCCACTTTGCCTATGGGGATGTGTCAGAATGTGTTAGGGTACATTCCGCTGTGGACACTGTCCCAAAGAATGTGTCCGAATCGATTGTGACGCGTACGTACAGCATATGCTGCCAGGTGTCAGAATGTCGGGCCGCCCGTGGTTGTCGCCAAATGTATTTATCATTGGGAGACGTGAAACACGGAGCAGCCGCCAGCTAATTGCAACACATTCCATCAGTCGCACGCGGTGCCAAGTGTCAACTCAAGCAGCATGTATCTAGACAACATCTCAAAGAACACACAATCCCCATCAACGCGTCGCCCGTGCTTGACGGCCAGGGATCCAGTGCACAGTCGCCCAGTGCGGCCCCGTCACGTGTGCGCCGTCAGCCTGCAAGGACGGCGGCAACAGTGCGGCCCGTCGTTGAGCAAGATGCTGACGACATCAATGATGATGACCGCGACGAAGGCCACAGCACAGAAGACGAGGAGGACGAACCGGAAGACCTTGGGATGTCGCCCAGCGACGACGACGATGACGATGAGGACGCCGAGGACGACGCGGATTGGGAAACGCAACCTGTGGCACAGCCGCCGAAACAAGGCGCCGCACGCGCATCTGGGACTGACAAAGGCAAAGGCAAGGCGGCGCCACCACCACCACGCCAGAAACCACGGAAGAAGCGGTCGGCTGCACCAGTCGAGAGGGGCTTATGGTCGGACAAGGAGAGCACCATCTTCGCCGCGGCGAAGTGGTTCACCAAAGAAGAGCTCGAGCCTCTCAAGTGGAAGCAGGGGACGCAATACTGGGTCCGACTACTCGCGCACATCAAGGAGTCGAACCCAGGATGGTGCAGGGGTGTCAACGCGTTGCAAAAGCAGTGGCGTAACTTGATGCTCCTTTGGCGGGAGTACAAGCGTGGCGACGGGGGGTCGGGCAACGGCTCGGTGGAGAAACCACCATGGTATCCGTACCTGGAGCTGCACAACCAGGACACCGCCGCAGCCGCACCGCATGCGGTGGACGGCGGCGGCACCACTAACGTCAACGTGCCGGCCGGCATGGAGGTTCCAAGTTCGTCTCAGCCAGGCACGTCAACACCAACCTTTACAGGTGAGTCGTGCTTCTATTACCTCGAGCTTGATCCGCAGTTATTTCATCGAAGTTCGAATATTCCGAAGCCGTTCATGTGATTAGCTAATATGAAGGATACATCAAACAACGGTACACGGACTAATCGAACCTACTATTTTCCCCGCTCCTCTATCACAGCTCCGCCGCCGCCGACCACTGCAACACCCAGGCGCGCCCAGGTGCATGAGACGGCTACTATGCAAGCTGCCATGCTGGTCTCCACGACCATCGAGGATTGTCACGGTGACGCGATGACGCGCATTGAGAGCCTCGTCCGTGAATGGATGGCGCAGGACATGCGCCTTGCCCGCGAGAGCATGTCTGAATCGGCTCCCCCGGACGTGCACCGTGCGCCGCCGGATTTCACCCCTCCTCCGCCACGTGGGGAGTCCGCGCCATCTCCCGAAGCCGCCCAGCAGCGCGACGATGTTGGCGACGTCAACACTGTCACTCCGGGTGCTGAGGATGTGGAGATATGGGTGCGCGGCGCCGACGATTAGCGTAAGAGTCCTGTAGGGCCTCACCCAGTCTTTTCCGCCTCTCTCTCAGAGCCTGTTGTGTTGGGGGAACACACGGTTCCCGCTTGTGTGTCGCAATGGCACCCCGTGTCCACCAAGGGTCGCGGTTGCGGGGCAGATTGTACCAGGCCATGTTCTTGCGCCTAACGTCTGCCATCTCTTCACACATATTGTGCAGGATCACACAGCACGCGGCCCCTGCGAGAATGCGCCACAACCTGCAGTCGTTGCGCCCGCCGAAGATGCGCCATCTCCCTTTGAAGGCGCCGATGCACCTCTCCACTGCCATGCGTGTGGCGCTCTGCTAGTTGAAACATTGGGCCCAATCGACCATTAGGTCCTCCCCGCGGTGCATGCAGGGGGGTTAGGCAGTATTCTTTTAGCGGGTAGGCCGCATCCCCAACAATCTGGTATGGGGCTATTTCCCCCTTGTGTAACCTTTCAAGTAGTGCAGAGTCTTTAAAAACCCGCATGTCGTGCGCGCTGCCGGGATAGCCGATGAGGTAATCCCATATCATGCCTCGTGCATCACACGTGATTTGGAGCTGAACGGCGTATGCCGACTTTCTTGTCCAGTTTTCAGCTCTGTGCCCTTCCATCCCTTTCAGCTCTGTGCCCTTCCATCCCTTTCATGTGGATGTGAGTCCCGTCCACAGCCCCCACCACTGCAGGTACACCTTTGATGTCAGCAAATTCACGCGCCATCTCGGGAAGTTCATCGCGTGAAGGGAAGCACACCCAGGCGGCCTTGAAGACGGAGGGGAACTCGGTGAGGAACACGTCGACAAGCTCGTGGCAGAGTGTCTTGGAGACACCGAACAGGTACGACGACGTAGGATATTCCACTCGCCAAGTACTTTATTGGGATGAGCCAGGGCTGACGTTTCAAAAAAACCCACTCTGTGTGCATGTACCAGATTTTTTCGTCTAGTCTGACGCACATTTTCCCCAACCTGGGGGAGTCTGATTTCACAGGATTCGTTTAACTTTCAGTCTGAAGTGGTCATTTTCCAAAATCCAAGATCAGACTAAAAAAAAACTAAGTTAAAATGTCCTGGTAATTGTCCTTTGAGTCTGAGACTCATCCATCCTAAGATACCTACCTACCTACCTACCTACCAATAAATCAGGCAGAGTACGACGCTCCTTTCCTATCTACCTACTTCTACCTAGCTACCACCAAACCAAACTCACGCACGCCAGATACACTAACTCTCAGGCTGATCCATGGCTATCTCCTCCACATCCTCCTCCTCATCCTCCTCGCAGAAAGGGTCGTCATCCAGCGCCTGGTCCTCATTATAGGCCTCCTCCTCATCCACCTCGCGGAAAGGGTCGTCGTCCAGCAACACCTGCTTCTTATCATAGGCCTCCACCTCCTCGTCCTCATCTGACTCATCACGATCCCACTCCAGCCCGCGCACTACCCTCTCCCGTTCATGGTCGTCGGCCAGCTCCTTCATCTTGCGCTTCCTCTCTGCTGCAGCGAAGACTGGAGTCTTCGCCGGGCGCCTTGGCTTCTCACGCCATTTGGCGAGGGCCTCCGTCCAGTCGATCTCGTAGTCAAGCAGGGAAACCGTCATCAACTCCGCCAGGCGCGCGTTGCCTAGAAAGGCTCTCACCCAGGACTTGATGACATTCTGGCGTGAGAATCCACGCTCGCACTCGACGGTTGACAGTGGCATCACGGCAGTTGCTTGCCACATCCGCATGATGTTGGGCCAGCGCCTGCAAATCCGACACACGAGCGTAAACATAGCTATTAGCGGAATGTTACAAATGCGTGAGATGCACGGCTATACAAGACACATCGAATTACATACCTGGAGGACTCAGCCACACCCATGAAGTTCTTCAGCCCTTGAAAAAACCCCTCATCCTCGTGGTGCGCCACCATGATAGGAGCCCACGTGGCAAGCTCCTTCTCGGCTGCTTGCAGGTCGAAGCCAGGGAGCTTGTTGTCGAAGATCGCAGCGCATCCGTGCAGGTACTCTCGGGTCTTGCGGTCGCGCTGCTGCCGCGGCTTGGGCCACTTTGCTGCGCGAAACAGCTTCGTTGGTGCCAACCTTCGTAGATCTGCAAGGCGGAAGTTCAGCCGGTTCACACACTCTTGTGCAAATTTTGTGCACAGCTTCTCGCACTCCGTGTACGTGCTGCCGTACTCGTGCCCTTTAATCTTCCTCTCATATAGCTTGTACTTGTGCGTCACTTCTTCACCTTCACTGTCAACTCCGCGCACCTTCACCTTCTTCGACGCACTCCTCCCGTGGAATTTCAGGAACTCTGACAGTGCCGGGCTTTCTCCGGCTCCCATCAAGTCCTCGCACTCCAGATAGTGCCTGCGCAGGTCCCCCGTGGCCTCGTCAATGTCCTTGGCTATCTCGGTCACGTCGACCTGAATGGGATGAGAAGGTGAGCAACACATGTTAGTGATGGGTTGTAGAGGGTTTAGAAATCAAGAATCAAAAGGCGGTCATCCTTACCTCACGCTTCTGAAACTTCACGTTGAGCTCGTTCATGATGCCAAGCACATCGGCAAGAAAGAAAAGGCAGAATTGAAACTTGTACGAGGTGACCACGTCGTACAACTTGTGCTTGCTCTCATACAAGAGCACGATCGATGCGCCGAGGACCTTGCAAAAACGACGAACAGCCACACCACGAGACAGCCACCTGACCGCGTGGATGCCTTGAACTTCAAGGTTAGTTTTGTGAATCGTTCGCTGCAGGTACTGAAAGCGCTGGCTGACGTTGCTGGAGTTCGTCAGTAGAGAAGCCACAGTCCGAATCACTTTGTCAATCATGGCCAGGTCTGGACATGCAAGGGCAGCATCCTTTACCGCTAATGCTTCCCTGCACATAAAACACAAAACAGGGAAACGGCTAGTAAAGCGTACCGGTACATGTGAAGGTGCAATCGGGCAATATCCTGAAACCAACGAACTTGTGCGCGATACAATGTGAGGAGATCAGGTGTGGGATGTACTCTCGTAGGCGGGTGACCAGGCCGTTGTCACACCCTACCATCACCGAGGCGTCGTCGGTGCGATAGCGCAGATACGATTGATGTCCACTCCGACTGTCTGCAAATGACTCATGGATGACCGAGAGCAGGGACGCCGCGCCACACTTCTCAACAGGTAGGTGTGCAAAGAACTCTGTAACAGGACGGTGGAAGCGAAGGAACGTCAAGTAGAGGATGAGGTGTTTTCCTCGCGTCGCAGCTGATGCCCAAAAACGAAGAGCTCTGGATATGTCGCAACTGAGTTACGAGAAGCAGAGATGAGAGGCGCAGTGCACCATCTCTTGGAACCCGTACCTGCATGGAAACATATCAAGACAAATGCGTTAGTACGAGCAACAGTATGAACTTGAATCACTCTTAGGCACAAGCGGTACTCACCGAGTAAGATACACGCCGTATGCGTGCCTGAGAATGTACGGCGTGTCCTGCTCAGACATGAAACGCAGCAGGTGAGCGAACATAGAGATCGGAGCATCGACCTTACAGATGAACTCAGTGGCAGGCAGAAGGCGTACCACCCTCCGCCCCTCCACGTCCCTCGTTGTGAAATCCCCGATTTTCTTCTGCTTGCCGTCCAGCGACTCTTCAATCTCCAACTGCCGCTCCACTGCCTCTTTGTGGACGTTGGAGTGCTCGTGTATCCGCATCGTTTGCGTTTGTAAGTCGCGCGCACCGTCGCCCGGGCTTGAATACTTGGTGGTTTCCTTGCCAAAGGCACGGCAGATGCAGCAGTTGAGCGAGGGATGCCCATCTTTGGCACGCACTAGCAGAAGCCACGGGAAATACGGAAGCCACTTCGAGTGGTAATTCGCCTCCGCCAAAAGCCACTTCTGCTCAATCTCCTCCTTCTTAGACAATTTGGGAGGAGGTGGCTTCTCGGGCGTGGCCACAGCCGGCGCTGAAGGGGGTGGAGAGGGTTTGCGGAATCTACCGCTAATAACCATTTTGCTCTGAACCCATTTCTGGGTACTATGCTTCTTTGGAACTGATTTGGTGACGGAAGGCACGCTGTACCGAACGGTAGATGCAGTGTGAACGGTGACTGGGATGGGGCCCTTACTGTTAGAATGAGAGAAGTGGTTGGACTAGGAAGAATGAGAGTACAAGTAGGAAAACCTAGAATTGGTACCCCCTAAGGCTAAACCCACTACAGCCTACAAAACTGTAACATATATGATGTTTGACACACCCCCATAGGCAAAGTGGGGGAGAGCAAAGGGGTCACAAGACCAGTCAAGAAAGGCAAAGCAAGCTCAGGGTGGATCACAAAGTCACCACACACACTGAGCACAAGCAAAGGGCCACAAGGCCAATTCACATGCAGAGGCATATATGCGACACAAACAGCACAGTGATCTCTACCTAGCAATGCAAACATGCAGGTATATATATATAGATCACAGTACAAGCAAAGCCTACAGCAAGTGAGGAAAAGTGGGCACAAGCCCTAGCATAGTGCAGAAACGCTGATGATCACCAGCCTGAAGTGCCTTGGTGAATATATCAGAAGTGTTGGCCCGAGTGGCCACGTAACGCAGACGAAGCTGACCCTGCTGCTGCAACTCTCGAGCTAGGAAGTAGCGCATGGCGATGTGCTTCGTTCTGTGCTCCAGTTTGTGCTCCTCACACAAGGCAATGGTAGCCTTGTTGTCGACGTACAGCACTGGAGGGGAACGAGGCCGCTCTCCCAAGTCGGTCAGCAGGTAGGTGAGCCAGCGTAACTCCTGTGCAGCCATGGCTGTGGCGTAGATCTCAGCCTCACAACTGGAGCTGAGAACTGAAGACGAGCGTGTAGAACGCCAAGAAACTGAGCCAGAGCCAAGGCTGAAGGTGTAACCCTGTGACGACCGCTGCGTAGCCTGGTCGTCAACCCAAGAGGCGTCCGAGTGACCAGTGAGAACAACCGGGCTCTTCCCTCCAAGCACTAGCCCCATGCCTGATGTACTGCACAAGTAGCGCAGTACCCTCTTAGCAGCACCCATGTGCTCAGGTCGGTGCCGACCAGGAGCCACGTAGCGAGCTAGAAGACCAAGAGGGTACGCGAGGTCAGGACGAGTGCAAGTCATCAGGTACATGAGGCAGCCAACTAGCTCTGGGTAAGGACCACTCGGCTCTACGGACTCGTCCGAAGGTGGAGCTGAGAGCGAGTGAGCCAGAGGAGTGGCCTGTGCCGAGGACCAGGTGAAGCCGAAGCGCTGAAGGACCTGCTGCACCATGTGTGACTGAGTCAGGGTGATGGTGCGGCGTGCTCTGTCCCGGGTGATCTGCAAGCCAAGGTAGCTGCGCAGTTCACCTAGGTCTGTGCACGTGTGTCTCTTCTGCAGCTCCGACTTCACGTGGGCGAGAGCCTCAGTGTCATCAGTGGCAAAGACCAAGTCGTCGACGTACACGAGGATGTAGAACGGCGGCAGCGAAGTGTCGGTGCGTAGAAACAGCGACGGGTCAGCAGTAGAAGGCGCGAACCCAAGAGCCGCAAGTGTAGTCCTCAGCCAGGGGGGCGGCGCAGCCAGATCTCCTCGTGCAGGCTGCCCTGCAAGAAAGTTGTGCTGAAGTCAAGAGAGTGAAGCTCGTAGTCACGCTGAGCGGCAACGTGCAGCAGCACCCGAAGAGTGGTCATCTTCGGGGTGGGGGAGAAGGTCTGGAAGAAGTCTACTCCCTCTCGCTGACTGAAGCCTCGAGCAACATACCGAGCCTTGAAGACAGGCGGAGAACCTGGCGGCCGCTTCACCCGGAAAATCCACATGCCACTGACGATGTTCGCCCCAGGAGGGGGAGCCTCGCCGACGTAAGTGCCAGTGGACTTCTAGGATGCCATCTCTGCGTCCATGGCTGTCTGCCACTGAGAGGAGTACTCACCCGCGATCGCCTCAGCGTAAGAGCGCGGGGTCGGGATGTCTGGAGCATCCGGGTCTCCCTCAGGTGCAAGCAGCATGGCCACAAGATGAGGTACAGCAGCGGCAAAGCACTCAAACTCCTCCTGCCTGTCCTCAAGGACGTCCGTGCCAAGAGCACACTCACCCCCGACGGACGGAGGACAGACAGACTCAGAGTCAGACTCAGCAACAAGACTGGCAGCGTAGTCTAGACGACAGTGAGCAGCAAAGTCAACAAGCTCAGCAACTAAGGCAGACGCAGCAGCTGACTCAAAGGAAGGGTCAGTGACAGCAGTGGCCAGAAGACGCGTGACAGTAGGACTAGCAGCACGAAGAGTGTCAGACTCCGGGTCAGCAAGGGCAGGAAGGGAGGACGCAGGAGGAGAAGGCAGAGGGACACGCTGTGAAGCAGTGGAAAGACGAAGCGTCATCTGGTGAGTGCCTGGGACGGCAGGAGGACGCTGACGCGGCGCACGACGACCAGTGCGAGCAGCACGAACAGGTGACGCAGAACGAGACTCAGGCGACACAGGACGAGACGCAGGCTCACGACGCTCTGTAAGACCTCCTGTCGGACCAGTGTAGGGAGAAGGACCAGGGAGTGGCGAGGCAGGCGGTAACTGTGACTGCGACTGGACAGGCGGAGGACACTCTAAGGAGGGAGCAGGACAAGGAGGAGGCTGCTGACCAAGAACCTTCTGAAGGAGGGGAACGAAGTACGGCCGCGGCCGAGCAGCGCCCCCATAACCAGTAGAGACAGCACCAGAACCTCCAGCAGCAGCTCCAACTCCTGCAGCACCACCAGCAGCTCCAGCAGCGCCAACACCAGTACCAGTAGCCCCGCCAGCAGCTCCAGTAGCACCCCCAGTCCCAGCAGCTCCAGTACCGCCAGTACGAGCACCTCCAGGACCAGTGGCTCCAGCACCTCCAGCGCCAACACCAGGGTCAGCAGCGACACCAACTCCAGTAGGCTCAGCGGCCTCAGCTCCAGCTCCAGTGGCACCTCCAGCGCCCACAGCACCACGGCGGCGGCGACAGTACCGAGAGTACCACTCACGCAGCTGCTGGGAAGAGAGAGCGCCCCCAGGCGCAGCACCCCCAGGCTCAGGACCTCCAGGCTCAGTACCCCCAGGCTCAGCACCAGCAGGCTCCGCACCCCCAGGCTCAGCACCCCCAGTCTCTGCACCCCCAGGCTCAGCACCCCCAGTCTCCGCACCCCCAGGCTCAGCACCCCCAGTCTCCGCACCCCCAGACCCAGCACCACCAGGCTCAGCACGCTCAGTACCTCGCGCAGGACCAGAGTCGACAGCTACCTCGACAGGCTCGACCGGGTCTACCTGGGAAATATCTGAGGGAGCAGGACCCTGAGGAGGCGGGGGGTCTACCAAAGCAGCACCTGGCGTGAGGAAGAGCGGCGGGGGGGGGAGCGGGGCAGTGCGGTAGGGGAAAAGACGGTAGAAGGGGACCGACTCGTCAAACGTGACGTCCTGAGAGGCGAAGACACAGCGCGAGGTGGGGTGGTAAAACTGCCAGCCAGGCGCGTCAGGGACAAAGCCAAGGAAGACACAGGGAACAGCGCGGGCGGAGAGCTTGTCCGCGGACGTATCGCGGACAAAGGCACGAGATCCTCAGACCCGGAACACAGACGCATCGCCAACCTCTCCCGTCCAACGCAGTGTCGGCGAGGTCTCCGGAACAGAGACACGGGGCCAGAGGTTGAGCTGATGCGCGGCGTAGCGGACTGCAAACGGCCACAGAAAATGGGGGGCAGCCGCATGGACCAAGGAGGTACGAGCGACCTCCATGACCAAGCCAATGCGGCGCTCAGCAACCCCATTCTGCTGAGGAGAGGCCGGAAGCATGAACGTCTGGCGAATGCCCTCCCCCTGACAGAAGGTTTCCAAGAGACCGGAGGAAAACTCACCACCTCTGTCAGAGTGCAGTCGCAGGACGGGAAGGTCCGTGCGAAAGCGCCTCTCCAGCTGGAGACGGGTAGCGCGGATCCAAGGGATCAAAACAGCAGGGACCTCTCCCTTGGTGCGCAAGGGGAAGACCGTGGTGTAACGCGTGTAGTCGTCAACTACCAGCAGGAAGTAGCGCTCTCCTCCCTGTCTACGGACGCGGGCTGGGCCCCACACGTCCATGTGAAGGGTCTGCAGAGGGGCCTCCGTCGGGGGAAACTCAGAGGAGTGAGGGGTGGCACGCTGCCGCCCCTCGACACAGGGAAGGCAGGGAGGGGCAGGGGACGGTGGCAGGGGAGGCAGTGACCTGGGGAGACCAGAGACAAGGTAACGGGAGTGCATGCCACGAAGGCGCTGCATCGAAGGGTGCCCAAGGCGGTGGTGCCAGAGGACCGTCCGGTGCGACAGGGTGCGACACGAGCAGGGGGCGGACAATTGACCTGACGCAGACGCAGACGCCGCTACCTGAGGGGACTCAGTGGTCAGTGTGTACAAGTCCGACCCCGGCTGCCGAGTGAAGGTAGCCAGGTGACGACCTGTCTGGGCACACGTGCAGTGTGTCACACGCTCGTAGGCAGGGGTGAACTGGTGAACACCCGCATCCTGGAGCGCGGAACCCGCCACCAAGTTCATAGAGAACGAGGGGAGGTAAAGGCCCGACAGGGTGCCGGACGGGACAGCAGGACAAGGGAGGGCAGTGGTGGAGGTCGCAAGGACCGGACCCCCGGAGGGGTCAGCCAGGGAGACAGCAACCGGCCTAGGGAGCTGCTCGAGGGCAGTGCGGTCGCGAAAGAAACAGCGGGAGGCACCCGAGTCCAGTGTGAATGTGTGCAGTGCCTCAGTAGACTTAGTACCTGAAGGCGCAGACTCACAAGTACCTAAAGCAGCAGACACACCTGCACCTAGAGCAGCAGCCTCACCAGGACCTGGGGCAGCAGACGCACTAGCACCTAGAGCGGCAGCCTCACTGGTCGCAATGCCTGGGTCTGGTGGCACACACAAGTAACAGTCACCCTCAACACTAATAGTCAATGCATACATGGCTCCAAGGATAACATCAAAGTCAAGTGCAAAGACATCAATGTTCTTTTTAAGCAGATCATCCCAGCG